AGAGGATTCACCAGAGACAGAGTGGGGAGCAGAACAGGCAGATCTACTGAAATACATTACTGAGGGGAGCAGCAGGTCAGCCAGGAGAGGTCTGCTGTGCCATGTGGGTTAGCTCGCTGGCTGGGGTTTGAACTCTTGCTGCACTGGCTGCAGATAGCTTCACAGTGCTATGATCTATCTAACCCCTTGTGGCACCAGGGAGGTCCCAAATTGAAAATTTTTATCTAAACGCACCCAAAGGAAAAAGAAGAAGGGTTGTTACGTTCTGAATGTTCCCACTCAAATTCCTATCTTAAGAGTATTAAAGGCTGAAGTCTTTACTGGGTGATGAGATGGTGAGGAGAAAACCTCAGGAGTGGGATTAGTTTTCCTATAAAAGGAATCGCATAAAGGTCCCTTGTTGATACCAGAGAGAAGGTATGGGCAATAAATCAGGAAGAAAGACCTCACCAGAATTGTGAGATGTGGCATATTGATTTTAAGACTTCCAACACAAAAGAACAGTAAGAAACAAATTTCTGTTGTTTATAAGCTACACAATCTGTATAAGCTACACAATTTGCTATGGTAGCCTGAACTAACAAATACAACACTGGAGCCTCAAATTCCAGAATGAAAGGGAGGATATTATTATCAAACTTAGAGAAATTAAAAAGACTGTAAGGGAAGGCTACAAACAAACCAACTTCTCACCAATAAATTAGATAATCTAGGTGACATGTACATAATCCTAGAGAAATGCAATTACAAATCTGACTAAATAACAAACAGAAAATCTTTAGAGACCTGTAACAATAAAGTGATTGAATAAGTAATCAAATTTTCTCACCAGATGATTTCACTAGTGAGTTTTATCAAAAATTTAAAGAATTAGCCCAATCTTTTACAAACTCTCCAACTTATCCTATAAGTTACCCTGATACAAATAGCAAACAAAGAGAACAGGAAGAAAAGAAAAAAAAAATCTTATAGCAAAATCCTTTATGAATATAGACACCAAATAATAGGAAATCAAATCCAACAACATATGGTAAGGATCATACATACATCTGCAAATCAAAACTCAGCAATTCAGAAAATCTGCTTATAAGTTCTGGGTCTTCCCACTGATTTTTCAACACCAAGGGAATAGGTGTATTTCTCTAATACTCTCACTAAAACATATTATAAAAAGTTACTAATAACTTTATAATAGGAGTACCTGTTAGTTCAACAAATGTTAATTACACAAATAAAAGTATGTACCGTTCATTATGTTCCTGATAAACAAGCCTGGACTTCTCCAGTAGATATTTTTCAACATAGGCACTAGAAGAGAAATAAAATGGGTTGATAAGCTTCTGCATTAATGTGCATGATTTTAATGACTTTTAATACCTTCTCCACTTGAAAAATAGAGACCATAGCAATGTGCCATGTAGGGTAGGTATGACAATTAACACAGTAGCTATTATGCAAGCTGTTATTAATAGGAAAACAGGGATAACAGAGTGGAAGGTATACAGGAATTCTATTCTTATTTATACTTTCTGTTGTGAACCTAAAAATACCCAACAAATAATCTCTTAAATTTTTAAGCTATAAAGAATATTGCTGCACCAACAGAAGACTCTGATCATAGCAGTTATGGTTGCTTTAGGATACAGTAATTAGTGGGTCAGGTTATATATACAACTTAAGAATTTCAAAAGTGAATGTATGTATAACATAAATATAGCAAATTGCTAACAATTCATAAATCAAAAGACATGTGTTACATTATTCTTGCAATTTTTCTCATATTTAAACTCTTTCAAAAGAATAATGGGCTCAAAGGAAAAATGTTTAATGCAGACATCAATATCACAATTCTCATTAAAGAGCAAACAATCTATGGTTTAGCAAAGGGGCAATGGCAAAAATATAACATGCTCCAAAGACTGTTACTGTTACTTACCCAAGTACAGTGCCTGTTTCTTGGTAATTTACTTGAATAAACTTCCCAAAACGACTTGAATTGTTATTATGAGCTGTCTTTGCATTTCCAAAGGCCTAACAAAATAAATAGCTTGTATTAATTTCAGTTTTTTTAATTGAAAAACCAACCTGGCCCTCCCTGGTGGTGCAGCAGGTTGAAGCACAGCACTAAGAAACTAAAGCCACTTCAGCATGAGTTCGATCCCCGCCCCGGAGGTGACCCACATGGAGCGGCAGACCTCTCCTGACCCGCTGCTCCCCTCAGCAGTGTACTTTCGTTGATCTGCCTGTTCTGCTCCGCACTCTGTCTCTGGTGAATCCTCTCACTGCCCCTGCACCTCTGGCTTGTACCCCAGTTCTGTATGCATAAATAAATCTTTAAAAAAAAAATCAAAGGCAATTTTTTTTCACAGCTTTTTTGTTTTAAGATTTTATTTATTTATACATACAGAAGTGGGGTACAGGCCAGAGGTGCAGGGGCAGCGAGAGGATTCACCACAGAGTGGGGAGCAGAACAGGTTGACAAAGCAGCAGGTGAGACTGGAGAGGTCTGCTATGCCATGTGGATCACCTCTGGGGCTGAGTATAGAACTCGCACTGAAGTAACAAGGTTCGGCTTGACCCTGGGCCACCAAAGGCAATTTGCCACCAAATTGCCCCAAAGGCAATTTTTAAACACTAACAATATAAGGTGGCTATACTACAATGGAGGGAAAAAAAAAAGGAAAGCTGCAAACAAAATAAAATACAAAAATAACAGACTCTGAAAACTATGTTGGTTACAGAGGTGAATAGGGAAGGGGGTAAAAGAAAGGGAACAGGTAATCAACAAAATAGTGTGACTGGCATTACAATTTTGATAATGGGTGTAGTGAGACATATACACATATTAAAGTAGGAAACTATAGTTCCAAAATACATATAATATTATAAGTCAAAAGTAAACCAGGGCCTCACTGATTGCACAGGTATTAGTCTCAGGGCTATCAACAGCCTCTGCAGCATGAGCTGAATCCCAGATCAGGGACTGACCCAGATGGTGCAGCAGACCTCTCCTCTCTAACCCATCTGAGTCTTGTGAATTCTCTCTCTCTCTCTCTCTCTCTCTCTCACATACATACACACATACGCACACATACCTGTACCCTACACCCAAGTTCTGTATGTATAAAGTGCTTTTTAATCTTAAAAAATAGGAGTAAAATTTTATTTAAAGAAGTCAATGAAATGGCATGTACAAAGGGGTTTTGAAAGATGCAAATATTTCTGGGAATTTAAACTCAACATACATACATAGTACTAAACCCGTTCCCTGAAAGTGTGCACTCTCAGCTAAGACCTAGGAACTCTGACTGACCTTCAGGCTCTATGTAATCAAGAAGCAAAATGTAAGGCAAGGTTGACAACTACCTGGTTTAGTTGTAGAAGGGTATCCCAATTAACACATAGAACTTTGCAGAAATGATGAGGAGTCTTATAGTTTCAAGACATTTAAGGAAATCCTTGCCAAAACTTAAGGTGACTTACTAAGTAAACTGAGAAAAGAATCTTAAATCCTCACACACAAAAAGAACACAGACCTTCCAGAATTGCATCAAAGAACTCATGTACCACCAAACAACCACCATAAATCTTGGCAGGAGAAGAAAATCTCATTTCCAAAACTGCTACATAGTATGTTTAAAAATGCTCAGTTTTCATTAAAAAAAAAAAGAAATTATGGACAAAGGAAATAAAAAAAGAGCAACAAAATCCCTTGATGAAGACCAGATGTTTAAGGTTCTAAATGCAGATTTATATGTCAACTATTTTAAATACTTCAAAATAAAGGAAAGTATAACAAAGATTACTTGACAAAAGACATTATCAATATTATAAAATCACCATGTTGAAAAATACATTAAATGAAAAATTCATTAACAGGGGCTCAAGTGAAGACATGAGCAACTTAAGATAATAGCAAACTTAAAGATTAATAAAAAGAGATATTCTAATCTAAGAAAGAAAATGAAGAAAAATTAACTGAGCTTCAGGGACTTGTGGCATATTATCAAGCATACTAATGTAACTATAATTAAGAACACCAAAAGGAGAGGATGGAGAGGAAAGGTACACAATGATGATTTCAACAAAAACTAGCCAAAACTTTTTAAATTCCATGAAAAACATTAAATATACATCAAAAAAGGTAAACAAGGGCTCTCCCTGCTGGAGCAATGGGTTAAAGCGCAGCTATATGAAGCCAGTTGCAGCCATTCCAGCACAAGCTCAATCCCCAGCCAGGGAGGCGACCCACATGGCGCGGCAGACCTCTCCTGTCTCGCCCACTGATTCCCTCAGCAGTGTACTTTGTCGATCTGCCTGTTCTGCTCCCCACTCTGTCTCTGGTGAATTCTCTCACTGTCCCTGCACCTCTGGCCTATACTCCAGTTCTGTATGCATAACTAAATAATCTTTAAAAAAAAAATAAGTAAACAAAACTATAATTATAATGAACTGAAATAGAGCTACATCTCCACACATCATGATCGATCTATTAAAAGCTAACAAATGAGAATGGAGTGTGGGAGGAAAAGCACAATTGGCTATGGTAGAAGAAAATGGGTGCTCTAGTGGTAGAATTATGGTACCCATACCTGAAGGAAGAAATCCTATAATGTGAAAAAATTAACAAGGATATAAAATAATACAACTTCATTAAAAATAAGACAGTAAATGAATCTCATAAGCTGCTATCAACAGAGGCAACTCATAAAAAGGATCTTCAATAACAACTGATTTCTCAACAGAAACCATAAGGATAGAAATGGTGAGATTAAAAAACACAAAACACTAGAACAGATTATGAACCAAAAATTCTATACCCCGTAAAACAATCCTTCCAAAATTAAAGCAGAAATTAACATACTCAAATAAAGAAATGAATGAATTCACCAATAGTAGATGGGTCTTTAAAAAAAAAAAAAAAAGCTAAATGAAGTCATTCAAGCTGAAACTTAAAGGACAATAAAATAAATCCTTATTAAGAAGTAAAAACAAGTGAAGTTGGCCCTCCCTGGTGGCGCAATGGGTTAGAGTACAGCACTGCATACCAGCCACAGCCGCTTCAGTGCAAGTTTGATTCCTGGCCCCAGAGGTGATCCACCTGGCGTGACAGACCTCTCCTGACCTGCCCACTGCTCCCCTCAGTAGTGTACTTCCTCGATCTGCCTGTTCTGCTCCCCACTCTGTCTCTGGTGAATCCTCTCATCGCCCCTGCACCTCTGGCCTATTTATACATACCCCAGTACTGTATGTATAAATAAAAATAAAAATCTCAAAAAAAGTGAAGTTAAACACAAATGTGAATATAAAACAGTATAGTTATTTCTTGGTATTTTTCCTCCTTTCTTATTTAATAGACAATTCCATATAATAATAAAACAAATCTGTGCTTAATGAATTGTTCAAGAAGATGTAGTTTATAACATAATGGAATATTACTCAGTTACCAAAAAAAGGTAAACTGATGCCATTTGTAGCAACACAGATGGAGCTGGAAGGGATTACGCTAAGCAAAATAAGTCAGAAGGAAAAAGAAATTTCAGATGGTTTCACTTCTAGATGGAATATAGGGTAAATTAACAAAGGGTCAAAAAACATAAAATTTGCAAACTGGCATACACCAGACGGAAGGAAATGATGGAGTCAAAACGGGAAGAAAGAAAACAAATGACTATGATAATGGGTCTTGGAAGCTATGTGACAAAGAACTGCATGGACTACACCTGTGGGAAGAAATCAAATATTGTACAAAAATGAACAATGGTGTATGAAAATAAATATATATTAAAAACCTGTTTACAGGTAGAAATATGCAATTTATATGATAATTGAAGCATAAAAGAGGGACATAGAGTTATGTACAAAAAGTCTCTTATTGAAGTTAAGTTGATGATACAAACAAAAATGTTGTATTAACCGGAGTGCCCATGGATATTCCCACTAAGAAAATAACATCAAACAAAACAAAGTAAAATAGACAACTACAGAATCAAAATGGTACACAGAAAACTTATGCTTAATATAGGGTAAGACAGTAAAGCAAGAATACAGGAAAATAAGATTCATTTCAAAACAAATGGCATATATAAGTCTTACATTATTAGTAGTCATACTAAATACAAATGGACTAAACAAATCAACCAAAAGGTAGATAAAAAGCAGAATGATTTTTAAAAACCGATCCATTTACATGCTTTTCTCAAGAGACATTCAGATTCAAGAATACAAAGATAATGAAAATAAAAGGATGATAAAAGATATGTTCTTGATAATTAAAACAACTGGACTGGCTATATTATTATCATGCAAACTAGAGTTTTCATAAGACCATTATTTCAAGAGACAGAAAGGCAATTTATAACAATGAAAGGGCTAATCCATCAAGAAGATATCATTATAAGCATTTATGTACCTAACAGTTCCAAATCCAAGAAATAAAAACTGACAAAAGAGACATTCAACAACAGTAGTTGAGATTTCAGTGTAACATTTCCAATGAAGAATTGAACTATAGATAAGATCAATGTGGGAAATGAGGCTTGAAAACACTATCTGTCAACTAAACTATGCCTCTATGAAAGATCCCACTCAACAACAGGAGAAATGCAAAAGGAACATGAAACAACAACAAAGACAAGACATAGAGTAAGCAATAAAGTCAGTCTAAAGAAGTTTAAAAGGGCTGATATCACATCAAATATGATCTCCAAAAACAATAGTTAAATAACTTTTTTATCAAAGAATTGATAAATTCAGAATTGATAAATTAAATAACATACTCCTAAATAACCAATGAGTCAAAGAAAATCATAAGGAAAATGTTAAAAGATTGAAATGAATGAAAACAAAAACACAACATACCTAAATTCATGAGACATAGCCCAAGTTTAGAGATTACTTTGTATCTGAGAACATTTTAAGTGGATCCTAATCAGTAAACAGAAAAGATCCTAATCAGTAACCTAACATGCCTTCTAAAAGAAAAATATAAAACAGGACCTCCCTGTTGGCATAATGGGTTAAAGCACAGCATTAAGGACATGGAGAAAAGGGAACCCTGTTACTTTATGGGTGGGAATGTAAACTGGTCTAACAGGGTTTTTATTCCCCCTCAAAAAAAAAAAAAAAACCTATGGAGGTTTCTCAAAAGATTTCAAAATGAATCTGCCATTATGACCTAGCAACACTACGCCTTGGTATCTACCAAAAGGCCATGCTGCATACCCATGTTCACTGCAGCACTGCTTACAATAGCCAGGATATGAAAATAGCCTAAATCCCCCAAAACAGATGAATGGGTTACAAAAGATATGTGGGGGTGTGTGTGTGTGTATACATACATGTGTGTATAGCCAGCAATCAGAAAAAGATGATAAATGCCATTTATCATGACCATGCCATTTGCAACAACATGGATAGATTTGTAAGTATTAAGTAAGATAAGACAGAAAAGCAGAAAGATAAATACTAGAAGGTTATTACTAACAAGTGGAATATAGAGAAACCAAACTAATAACCAGGGAAAGACCACCTTAAAAGCGAACACTTGAAAACTGACTACAGAACTGAAGCCTTCAAAGAGGGGAAGGAAGGCAACACAGTGGACTATGGCTGTTGACTACGGGTGATCTAGTGACAGGTATCCAGCAGTGGTGATACCTGATGAAGAGAATCTTGATGTACCATATTTATGTGTTATATTAAGAGAACATAAAAAAAATAAATAAAAGTTGTTTCCCATATTCATCATTTCAAAAGTGAACTCTTAGATTTTCAATGCTAGACACATAGACACTGAGGTGACAAAGATGTATTTATACCAGCAAAAATGTTTTTCCCAATCACCTACTTTCATAACTCAATTACAGACAGCAATCCTGCTCCTACTTTCTCCCTTTACAGGGAAATATCCCATTTTCTAGTTTTCCTTGGTAAACTAAAAATGATGCCTGTATCTTAAGATAAGCTTAAGAGTAAAAAAAAGAATTTCCACAACTTACCTCAAGTACTGGCCCAGCTCCAAGAATGATTTGTTCTACTCCACTGGCAAATCCTTTCTGACTGAGAGCAGTAAGGTGATGAATAAGAAAGTTTGTGCTTTGAGTCTTCCCAGAACCACTCTCTCCGGAAATCACAATGCACTGATTCTTCTTGTGCTGCAGCATGGCATGATAGGCTACATCAGCCACAGCATAAATGTGGGGCTCAAGTTTTCCTAGTTGATGGTTATCATACATTTTAACATATTTGGGGTTATAAATAGGAAGAAATTTGAATGGGTTAATAACTATAAGAATACTGCCAACATAGGTATAAATTTTTTCATGCTTAAAACGATTTCGTAGGTTTTCTAGGAGAGTTTTCTCATTCAAATCTGGTAAGCTACATAAGTCATCAAAGTCTTTCTGTTGAGGCTGTGGAAGAAAACCCCGTTCCATCATCCTGCGACGTTCTTCTGTTACCCGTAGCCATGACTGAAGACTACCATAATGGATTGAGCCATCAAGGTTCTTTTCTCTCAGAAGAAAGCGGTAGTCCTCTCCACTCAGGCGATTTTCCAGAGCCATTCGGGGCCACAACATCATTCGCTGAACTGGACAGTCTGTTGGATTGAGGATCCATTCCTCTCCACCAAATTCCTTTACCTCTGCTAGAACATAACATTTTGTTTTATCAAGATGAAGTCTGTTTATAAGAGAGTCAATCACCTCAGCAGCCGTAGAGTTTTTTCTGGCAGGAATTGGACAATAGATTGTCCCTTCTGAAATTGTCCCAGGATATATTCGTAGTGTGTGTTCATTATCCTCAAAGCGTCGTCTTCCCCCATCATTTATATTCATATTGGATCCTGTCCCATCAGCATGGATAGTATGTATTCAAAATTATGCAACTCATTTTCATGGCAGAAGAACTGCAATATAAGAGATGTGAAACATTAAGAAGACATTTAATATAATCATTGCTTCCTGATGGATAATGCTCAATAAAGTTTTTTTTTAAAGATTTATTTATTTACTCATACAGAACTGGGGTACAAGCCAGAAGTGCAGGGGTGGTGAGAGGCTTCACTAGAGACAGTAGGGAGCAGAATGGGTAGATGAATGAAGTATATTGCTGAGGGCACAGCGGGCAGGTCAGGAGAGGTCTGCCACACCATGTAGATCAGCTCCAGGGTGGGGGATCAAACTCACACTGAAGTGGCTGTGGCCAGCTTGCAGTGCTTCGTCCTAACACACTGCACCACCAGGGAAGGCCCAGTTTAACAAACATGTTAATTTCGTCTTTTAGAACACAAGATTCTTTCTCTTAGTATAGGAACAATTTTTAAAAATCTCATTGATACTCCATAGCATTACATTTCATTGTCCAAATCTAGACACTTTCTAGAACAGCAAGCTGTCAAAAAATGTTTTTTCAATGTCTTACATATTAAGTTAAAATCCATTAAGTACAAAGAAAATTTATTTTGTCCTCTACTATCTCAATTATTTCTATGATAACTGAATGATTGGAAGCAAGATTATATATTTGAAGAGCCTCAGTGAAGACTAAATTAAGATAAATAGAATAAATGTAATAATACATGTAATCACCCTACACCCAAAAGTTCTTATGGATAAACTAGAAAAAATAAAGAATACTGCTGATGGAGCAAAGTTTTGTGACATTAAAAACAAAAAGCTGAAATCAGATAAATTGAGAAGTTAAACTATATGAAGTTAAAATCAAGAAAACAATGAAAGGAACCTACTTATAGAACAAATGTATTTTCAAGGACTTCTGGGCCCTGATTCTCTATATCTTCCCTAACACGGAAAGATTATAGGTGGGCAGGGGAGGTAATAAGGAAAACCAAAAGATCCTAGAGTTTACTGAACAAAGCTGACAAGAACCTAACAACAATACAAGTTTTATTCAAACTACCCTTGTCCTTCAATGTTACCTTTTTAGCTAGCCTGATTGCATTCCTTACAAGTACTTTGCATACATCTTCTCAAATCCCAAATATCATACCTCTAGAAGAATAATTTCAACTGTTTTATTTCACTAAGAAAACAGTGACTTCTTTTAAACGACTTCTTCAATCAAAATTATTCCTATATTCATCTCATATATGCTCTTCCAATTACTTTCTACAGTGAAAATATGTCCTCTATCCCTTCCTGAAATAATAAAACCCATTTCATGTCATATCCATCAGTACTTGCCCCTCTTTCCTTTTCTCTTATGAAAGAAAAGGAAAAATACTGGATGGTTTCACTCATAGCAGGAGTATAAAGGACCAGGGGAGAAAGTAATAATAATAATAATGAATAATATATACCAGAGATATTTTATGGGGGTGGAGTGGGGAATGGGATAAAAAATGGGGAGGGGGGAGTGCACTGGACTCACTAGACTATGGTGGTGGAACACAGGTGAATTGGTGGTGTGAAGCCCAAGGGGATTACAACTGAGATGGGCACAAAATTAAGTAAAAATAAACTATTATATTATTATTTTTAATTTAAAAAAAATGCTTATGTTATCAATCTTTCTTCTAACTTTCTTTAAGCTTTTAAATATATAAAGATGCTGTATTCTTTAAAAAGAAAAAAATACTTCCAGTCACATCCTACACTATGTATTTCTCGAATGAAGAAACTTCATTTATTACTTTTTTCTAAGATGAATTTTCAAACGCAAAGAATGTTAAAGAAAACTTTAAAAGCAGCACTGCATCACACAAATTTGGCATGTTTAAAAATATTATAAATGTTCCAGATACTTTAAAAAAAAAAAAGATTTATTTATTCATACAGAACTGGGGTACAGGCCAGAGATGCGGAGGGTGAGAGAATTCACCAGAGACAGAGTGGGGAGCAGAACAGGCAGATGGACAAAGTACACTGCTGAGGGGAACAGCAGGTGGGCCAGGAGAGGTCTGCTGGGCCATGTGGTCACCTCCGGGGCAGGCCAGGATCGAACTCATGCGGAAGTGGCTTAAGCTTCTCAGTGCAGTGTTTTAACCTGCTGTGCCACCAGGGAGGGCCACCCAGATACTTTTATAAACAAAGAAAATACCAGAGATTTAGTAGGGCCTCCTTCCTTTTCTCTGCAGAGGTAACCACTTTCCTGAGGTATTACTCCCATAAATGCTTTTATGTTTTTACTGTGTGAGTGTGTGTGTGTGTGTGTGTATATATATACATTGATAAGTATTTATTATATAAATTTATATTTATTTATATGTGTGTATATATTTTTCTTGTGTATGTGTATATTATATACTACACACTTATACACACGAGTCCCCATAAATTAGATATTGTGTCCAGTTTTTAAGCTATTTTTTAAAAAGACAGTAATATAGTATGACTACATGTTACCTTAATACTCTCTTTTCTATTTATGAATGCTGATGCATGAGTAAAGGTCATTAACTTCTGAATAATATGCCACTATATATGGGTTCATTAATTGAAACATATATACTACTACAGGGGTGGGCACTGATAATAGAAGAGGCTATGCATGTGTGGGGACAGGCCAAGGAGTATAAGAGAAATCTCTGTAAGCTTCTGCTCAGTTCTGCTATGAACATAAAATTGCTCTAAAAGATAAAATCTATTTCTTAAATTCCACTGTATGTATGATACCACAATTTATCAATCCACTGCCCTTCTAGTGAGTACTTACAATGTTTTCAATATTATACCATTAAAACAATGCCACAGTTTCCATACATATCTCTTCATGTGTGTTTGCAATTAGCTCTCTGGCTTTTACATCTAGGAGTGGACTCGCTAGGTTTTAAGCGTTTTTATCTTTACTAAATAATAACAAAATGCTTTCCACAGTGGTTGCACCAACTATTTCACAGATAGTGTAGGAGAATTCGTGGTTTTCTGCTTCTTTAACCAAAATTTAGCATTGTCAGACTTGCATTACTGACAATAATTGTAAAAAGGTATTTCATGGTTTTAATTTGCAATTCCCTGATTACTACTTAAGGACAAGCAACTCTTATCCTATCATTTTCCATTTGGACTATGCTGCTCATTTGTTTTCTCCTTTGAGTTTTTCTTTTCCTTATTGATGTGAAGTTTCATATATCCTGGTATTAATCAATGTTTAGCTGAATGTGTGACAAATAATCTCCTACCAATCAGTGGCTTACAGACTTGGCTTACACCCCTTTCTGTGATAGAGAAAATTCTTTATTTTTTTAAAGACGGATGGATGGATGGGTGGAGGGATGGATGTATAGAAGAACTGAGTTGTCAGAGGTGTCAAGGGAAAAACCAGAGAGAGTGGGGAACAGAACAGACAGAGTGAGTGAAACACACAGCTGAGAAGAGCAGTGGGCGAGACAGAAGTCTGTGCACCATGTGGGTCACTCCCTGTATGGGACTGAACTCAGCCACTGTGGTGGAAGCATGATAGCTCTGGGACTTAATCCCTAGGGTACCAGAGAGACCCAAATAATTTTTTTAATAGTCAAATCTACCAATATTTACAGTTTATGGTTTGTTTGTTTTTTTATTGCACAGTTTATTTTTACATCATTTTGCACATTTTTTTTTCCATCTCAATTGTAATCCCCGCGTGTTTCCCATCACCAAATCACCCCTGTGCCACCACCATAGTCCCGTGCATTTCCCTCCCTTCCCCCCCGTTTTTGATCCCATTCCCCACTGTTTCTTTTTAATTAAACAATAACAACTGCAGTTAACTATTATTGTATGCTCACACATACTCATTTATTCTAAGCATTTCACAGGAGTTATTTCCTTTATTCCTCACAATTCCTAGGGCTATTTTTCACATCCTCCTCCTCATTTTACAAATAAAAAAATAAAGACTGTAATTTATCAAAGTCATAACTGCAATGTGGTAAAGCTGTAATCTGGAGGGGAAAAAAAGGGAGGTGGCCCATGGTTCTATGGTGAAGGATTAGGGTGCTCTTGGTGATGGGTATGGTGTAGTAACTTACATGTGAACCTATTCCAATAAATCATATACAGTACTGTAAGCGTGTATTATTTCAATAAATATAAATATATTAAATTTAAATAAGTATAAATATTAAAAACAAATACAGCCAGTCTGGTTCTAAAACCTACATAGTATTATATTCTTTATGCTTTCATAACTGACTTAATTTAATGGCTCTCACTCATCTCCTTGAAAATGCTAAATTTATAATTTAGTATTCTTCAAATTTATATTTTAATGTTGCTCAGAGTGAACTGCTCTTCTGATTGCTGATTTTATTTCCTATCTTTCTTGGCATTAGAAGGCTTCATTTGTTTGAGAATTTAACAGTACAAGTGTACTTTTTGAGATACTTTTTATTTTCATGCAAACATTTACTAGGAAGATACTACTGACTACCTTTGAAAACATAACCATAATACCATTAACCATACCTTTACAAATTAACAATTTTTAATATTAGTGGTTACCTTTCAATTTCTCCAGTTACCTCACAGTTATCTTTGTTACAGTAGATCTATTCAAATCAGACCTCTGTTCTGCAATAACAAACTAATCTCTGAACTAGCAGAGTGCTAGTTGTAAAGTTATGGTGGTGCTCTAAAGCCCTATTTATAAGACTTCAGGTAAGTCATGGCTTCTGGTGCTCATGATAGTTAGGCAGGCTGTGCCGGCATTACTCTAAAAAACACACAGCATAACATCTAATCTCTAAAGTTTAGTGTATAATACTGCAGGCCTAGAACTAAACTCAGAAATATTTTTCAATTAAGGAATATTGCTCACCCTAATTCATGATTTTCCACAATGTGCCCAAGTGTAATGACATTTCCCCATCAGCTCTATGAAGGTATTTACAGCCACTGCAGCATGAATTCAATCCCTGGACAGGGAGCTAACCTACCTGGTACAGCAGATCTCTCCTGTCTTGCC